ATGTGCTCCTAGTGAGCCAGCCACTCGGTGACGCTTGTTGTCACCTACTGCATGCCTACCCAGTGTGGCAAGGCTGCCCTCACCTGTGTGACTCAAACTGTGCTGACACAATGCCGCTTGCTGTACCGTTTCTTCTGTATGTGTCTGAGCTGCCGAGTACTTTTGCAGAAGTAGAACCCTGGAGTAATAGATCCTGCCTGAGACGTGAACGGTGACTCCCATATTCCGAAAACACATTACCATTTAGGATGGAAAGCAGCTGAGATGATGTTAAGTCGGCAGCAATCCAATGATAATCAAAAAGAAAGAAACAAAATGCCTTTTTGCCAAGATAGGAAACAGCACGGTGTAAATCCACTCCGCTCTTTTGTGTGTTTAACTTCTATTCTTCTCTTATACGTCACAAACTGATCAAAGTTTTCCCTCCATCCATTCTACCCAGTCCCTCCCCCACCCCCACTCTCCCCCAGATCAACTCCACCATTTCTCAAAAAGAAAGAGCAGGCCCCCCAGGGATATCCACATGGCTTAACGAGATATAATGCGATCAGTCACAAAGCCTCATATCACAGCTGGATGTGGCAACCCAGTAGGAGGAAAAGGGTCCCAAGTACAGGCAAAAGAGTCAGAGACAGTGTTAGCATTCAGGCATCTGCACTGGCCTGCCCTTGGAGTTCTGGCAGGACATGCCCTCAGCTGCAGCCACTAAGGGCACTGCCTGTCCCTTTAAAAAGGGTCCTGCCCACCTCCCATCGCTTTCTTTCTCTCCCTCTCTCTGTCTATCTGGTCCCCACACCCACCTCTTTCCTCTCTCCTGATAATCCTGTCCACAGAGGCCAGTCTCTCCCCTCCCTCTCCCTTTTCCCTTAATAATAATATTTTTTAAAAAACGAAAACAAAAAAACCTCTGCTTGAACTTGATCACATGGTGTCTTTCTCTCTTGAGCTGCTTTTTTAAAACTGCAACAGACAGCTCCCACTCCCATTGAATGGAGAAGCACACACTCTGTATGGGTCTGAGTTAGGTCTTCTGCATATACCTTACGGCTGGGTAGCTTGATGTCGACTCTGCTCTTAATTTCAGTGGAATCCCTCTTATTTGACATGGTAAGACATAAAGGTATATTAGTTAATATTTTTAATTTTATAAATCATTTAACAATTTTGTGTATTCTCTCTGAATATACATATATGCATGTATACAAATGTGTATTTTACATGCATGAAGATACATGTGCCACTGGAGAGATGACTCAGTACTTACAAGCACCTTTTTATCTTCCAAAAGACCTGAGTATCCAGCCCCAAAAATCTAATGCCCTCTTCTGGCCTACACATCATACACACACCCACACACAAATAGAATAATAATAATAAAATAAGAAGTAAAAATTTAAAGAACAAACATTATGTACCTACTACTTCCATATACAACCACATGTTACATGCACAGATTTAAACACACAGAGATTGGTCCACTGTCATGTGCACAGAATGTCAAGAGATTAGAAGTGTGTGGCCAAGATTCAGACCAGAATGCATGTTTATAGATTTTCTACATTTTCTTTTCACTTAACACATACAGATGTGTATCCATCTACCATCCTTCAGTGCTAAAATAAGGACAGAGATACACAGAGATTTCCATTGTGTTCTTTAACAATGATGGGAGTCAGCCTTCCAAACAGCCACAGGACAAAAATCCTTAGTCCCGTCATTGTGTTCTCTACAACACCTAGTCAGTATAATACTGGGACCTTCAGCAATTTTGGTCAAAGTTAAACTAACCACCAGATTGATCTGTACCGATAATAACCCTAGATACTAAATATTTAATTACAAAGATGACTAGAAACATTTGTATGAGAGTTACAAGCTGAGAAAAATCAAAATTCAATTCTACATATACAAAACAAACAAACAAACAAAAAACCACGTCTTGGGTAAACTTCATACGTAGGAAATCATCTTGTTCCTCAAATACTTTGTTGTCCTTTATTTAAAGTTACCCTCTGAAGAGACAGTAAAAATAAGCGCCTGGCCTTCTCCAGAGAGATAGCTGAATTTCAACATTTCATAACCCTGCCAGTGCTGACATGGAAGACGTGAAAGCTTACCACTTCATTTCAGTACTTGCTTAGCTCTCACCCACAAAACTCAGAATCCATTCTGGTCAATCATTTCCAATCTTTTGACATTCATCCTACTTAAGTTTCAATCAACCAGTTAACAAGTATTTATTGCCCTACCAAATTAGAGAAATATGCATAGCAATTATGTTAAACCCCTTTTAAAGTTATATATTTTACGAAAAGAGCATTAAAAAAAAAACAGTCATTGCTTATACACATGTAAGGGCAAAACAGATTGTTAAGAAATTGTCACTTGGAGCTGGGCATAGTGGTGCATGCCTGTCATTCCAGCACTCAGGGCACAGTGTGAGACAATCACCACAAGGTCAAAGACAGCAGGTCTGCCTAGCAAGTTCCAAGGAAAGCTACCTTGCCTAGAAAACTCAAAAGATCATTTTATAATTATTGTTTGACTCTAAGAGTTTTCAGTGAGCCTGTTTCTATATGGAACTCTATGCCAAACGATGAGTGTGGGTTCTTATATTTGTCAGCTGGAATGTTAATTCAGTGAATTTATCTGACTTCATCTTGATTACAATTATGAAGTACAGATATGGCAAGACCTAAATGTTACTAGGAAGTTATAGTCTAAATAAATGCAAATTTTCTTCTTGACTTCTAAATCTCAGCTCCTGGGAAAAGCAAATTCCATTTTTCTCTTCCATGAAATGAAATACACCACATGGTAACGAGCCAGAATGGAGTGATTGGCACTTACCATCATCATATATCAGCCAAACCCTTGGAAAGGTTGAAACAACTCATAACCAGCCAATTGAGAAGCACCTGTGGTGCATCTCCTGTGTGCTCTACATAGTGTGCTTACACACTTAAGAAGATTTGAGAAGTAGCAATATATAGGCATATCAATAATCCTGAAAGGGAAAGTGAAGAAAATACCTCAGGAAAACCTTACTCTTCATGCTAATCAAAAGGATGGAGTAGAGGAGGAAAAGAAAACAGTCTCATTAAATTGAAATAATTAAAAATCATTTAAAATATAAATAAAATTGTAGTATCTATTCAATCAATAAAAGAAACCAAAATTTCAGCAAAAAAGGAGAAAATGGAGACTCAACTGTGTGGTAAGATTCTGGGATTCCATTTCTCCCATGGTCTTACAGGAGTTAATCCTTCACTCCAGTTCCTCAGAGGTGAAAGGCAGAGCTAAACAGAACCTTCATGATGATTAGGAACCAATCAGCCCACATCTCAAGACAGCATGGGTTGTCTGAATCATTTTTCCCTCCTTTATTCCTCTTATTGCAGGGTCCCTCCAAGCTATGGCCCTCACCCTTCACACTCAAAGCCTCCTTAACATTCCCTTCCCACTTTTTTTTCATTTTACCTCCATAATTACCAAGTCAAGTACAATTCACTCAGCCTCGTTTTGTATTTTGAAAAACCACATTTGTTTAAAAACTTAAGAAATCCCTTGTGCCAAGTATCATAAACTTAAATAAAACCACTCTAAATGAACACTGATGTAATTCAAAATGTTTTATCTTGTTTTTGTTCTTCAATTAGAACACGCTACTACTAAGGAAAAATCAGACCCCAGCCTTAATTAACTGCAGGTCCCATAAACTGACAACACACAGTCTTCGAGAAACTGGATTGTCATGAGTAACCTCAGTACTCTTAAGTAGACCATTCTACCTGATTAGCCCAGAGAAAACATGAATAGACTCTTAAATGATTCAACAATTTAAGGCACTAAATTGAAATAGCAAAGCAATAAAATGTGAGTGAGCACTTATAAAAGACATCTTTTATGCAACAAAACCATCTCTTTCCTTGGCTCCTGGGCATGAGCCATGCTCACAACCTTTGATGTGCATGATGATCATCTATGCTGTGTATCAGAGCCATGCTTTCTCAGACAACTGGTATACCCGTGATGCAGGAAAGAACATCATATCAGACCGTCAGCTAACAGCCTTACTGATGGCCATACCCAGCATTGCCTCTACTGCCACCTTGCTTCCCCTCCTGCCTCATTTTTACTTTGGTCCAATCTGGATGTCAGCCCACTTGTCCACACTGCAGGCAAAGGAATGGAACCACCTGACACTCCCCCTTCCTCTCACAGAAGTTTGCCTTTCCTCTTTAATTGCATAGTGTCATAAAGTGAATGTGGTGAGTGAACTTGGCATAACTTCTCTTATCGTTTTTTTTGGCCTTCTATCTGGAAAAGAATATGAACGCTTTATTAATTCTTTTATTTCCAGACTAAAATACCAAGCTGTCACATGCACTTGCTGACTCCGGGGCTTTTAAAGAAATGAAAGGATGAATGTCTGACCTTCCGGTCAATCATCCCCCCACGCTCTCAGTATCAGCATCGCTGTCCTTGGTGAACTAGTGATGTCTTCTCTTCATTATCTACAGAGCTGGCTGACCTGTCAGTTATCTCAGCTCGATCCCCACAGTTGGCAAGCTGTGACTTCATCTTTACGTGTTAAAAGCAACTTTGCAGCTGCTCTATTGTCTGCAGATTAAAATCTGTGTCGCTTTCTGTCAAAACCCACCTAATTCTGACACAGTGTCTATCATGGCCACTCATTCCATTAACATTTTAGTAGGTAATCACACCCAGTACACTGAAGCTAGTACTTATGTTACTTTACACTCTCCCATGTGGAAGCAAGAAAGACTGTGTTTACACTTGTTTGAAGCACATTTAATTTGGGGCCTATGGAAAAATAAACATGCTGTCCAGAGCTGAACACTGAAGCCAATGTTAACACTCAAAAGACTGACATTCTAGATCAGCACTGGCATTCTAGATCTGAGAAAGACAACAGAGCTTTCGCAGAATGTAGCTAAACCCCAGAAAGCAGAACTGTTGGTACTTTAGGATCTTACCAGAAAGGGACTCCAGCAGACACAGGAGACACACATTATGGCCAGGAGTTGAATGACCGTCTCAAAGTGATGGGATCTGCCTTGTCTATGCTGCTGGCTTTTAAACTTCACCCTTAAGAGTGTCACTCCTGTGATGGCATTGCACAGGAACGAAACACCAAGAGCTAAGAGACCCAGAAATGAAAAGAACAAGAGATAAAACCTGTCTTCCCAGTCTTCAATGTTCTGTGTGTTGTAGAAACACCAGGTCCTGGATGCTTGGATTTGATAGTCTCGGTGTCCAAGGATAGGTAACAAAGCCACAAAAACAGCCAACACGCACACACCGCCCAGTATCATTTTCACATGTTTAGATGTAATTTTCGTAGAATGGAATATAGGGTTGGTGACTCCAATACACCGTTCAATGGCCATCGCACTGCCTAGAAAAAGTGGGCATAGGCCAGAAAACACCATGGAGATCCCAAAAACACTGCAGAGGATGTTTGATTGATCGAAGCGGATCCAGTCTTTATCAGAAGCATATACAAAGACAGCTATCCCTCCATTAATGAGATGGCCAAAGAAGTCTGTGATCACCAGGCCACTAGCCAGGAGCAGAAAGGAGGCCTTCGACTTCTGCCTAAATCTCTGATATGCCTTCATGAGAATGGCAATGGCCAGGCTGTTAGATAAGATTCCCACTGTCATGAAGATTATTGAAAAAAATACTGAAAGCCGGTTTTGCATCTGGCAGGTTGTGTTTGCGAAGAGTTCAGCTGCAGGAAACACAGGCTGTTTGGAACTATTCATGGACATTGTTGTGAAGGTAGAAGCTGTCCCCCCAGGTCATCTCTCTGTCACCACTGTACAGTCTCCAAGTGCAGACATCTGTAGCATACAGGACAGAAATTATAAAGACCAGATTGCCTCTCATCTGACATTTAAAACCAAGCATCCAGCAACCTGGGATGGGGTGGATTTACCCAGCCTATCCTAAGTCTAGTGGCAGCCCTCTGAAACCAGCATGCATAGACCATTTCGCTGGGAGACACTGACCCAAGTAGGCAACCCTCTAAGTCGTGAAAGGGCAATGCACAGAATCTCTCTCTGTCTCTGTCTCTGCCTCTGTCTGTCTCTCTCTGACACACACACGCACACTCACACTCACACTTTAACTCCTGGAGGAGACTGTTAAAGTTCTGTGCTATGATCTCAGAGCCTTTCTTTGCCCTCCTTTTGCCAAGGCAGAAATCCCTGCGCGAGTCAGGCAATGGGGAAAGAAGCCTCCCCTTAACACTTTGAGCTGAAAGATGCTGTCAGGTTACTGCAGCCTCCCGTGAGAAGCACTCCATTGTTTTTTTCCAAGTCCCCCCTAGCTACAGGATCACAGCCACCCCACCCCTAGCTAATTAGATCGGTTTCCCAAAGAAGCTTTCCCGGAGGGAGGCTGGAGATTCTACAGCACAGTGTCGTTAAGTGCCCCGGGGAGAGGCTGGCTGCACCCTCCGCGTCTTACTCACAGTTTGACTTTCGCCAGTTACAAACCCCGCAGCACCCCACGGGGCTTCAGCTTGCAACATCCTCAAAACTTAACCAACTTGCTGAAACTTTTTGCAATTCCTCAAACTCCAGCGAGTTGTTTTCCCTCCCTCCCTGGGGGGGCGCCAGAGGTCTGTAGCAGAGTGGGTAAGGACCATGAAGTGTCACCAGCAGGGAATCTCGAGAAGAGAAAGAGGTAACCCGGTTTGCTTACTTCTCTCGTAGGAGAAGCAGGGTCCTTGCTACCGTCCCCCACCCATACAGTCCAGCCCAAACACCCTTCTTTCTCCATAGCGCACCACGAATTGGGTCCAAAGTCCGTGCCAAGCTCAGCCTAAGGTGCTCGCCAATGGGGGAACCTTACAGCTGCCTCCGCAGGAGTTTATCAACCCGGGATTCGCCTGAAGAATCCAGGCACCTTGGGAATCCGGGCCATGGGAATGCAGCCTCCGGGTTGCTGGTTACCTTGGTATCCTGGGCCATCCAGCGGCTGTGTCCGGAGCCGAAGAGCTCTGCGCCTCGCTTGCCATGGCGCACCCAGCCCGGAGCAGCTGCAACCTCAGGTCCCACCGCCGAACACTTCCTATGTCCCCTCTGCGCCCTGGATCACCCACAGGACCTGCTGGTCCAATTGTACCCCGAACTCCAAGGCACCTAATCTCTCACAACCTCCACGGTGGCTGGCTTAATGACCTCCGCCCCTTCCTTGTCTCTCTCCTCCCCGCCCCTTTTCCCACCCGCACAGGGTGAGGCTACAGCATGGTCCTCTGATGTTTGGGATACCCAGCAGGGGCAGACAACACTTTGAGCCACCAGACAGCTAGGAAAAGTTTTCCTTTAAACTCATTTCCAAATGAAATAAATAAATAAAAGCCATTTCTGAGGCTGCAGAACAGGAATAAGGAGGGCCAAGTCATGTCTAGACCCTGATGTGTTTGGTTGTGAGATGCAGCTTACAGAATGAAGTCATCCCAAGTCCAACCAGAAAGGGTCACGGGGAGAAAGGGCTGCCTGTTTGAAAGAGAACTTCGTGGCAGATATCCCCAAGGAGTGAGCAAAAAGAATTCTGGCCAACTGTTGTAAGCAGGACAGCCTTAGACTCGAGCGGACAGTATGAGCCGCATTCCTGAGCACCTACAGACCTGGGGGAGGGGAGGAGCTTTTGGTAGCTCCAAAGTCCTTGAGAGAATTTCTGGTGACATCCACAACAAACGATGTGCACATAACAGATTTTATATAAGTCAGTTAATAGCCAAATAAAGACACGCTTATTTTTCATTGAGAACTGTTACCTGAGCCATGTTATAGCGTAGATGTACGGTGTCGGGTGAACTTGTACAGAGTGAGTCTTTTTCACACTGTAATTGCTTTCAGCTGGTGACGCAGCACCCACACCTGTTAACATCGCCTTCCCTGTCCCAGCACTTGGGTGACTCTACGACTTATCTTGCTTTCTCTTCTGAACTTAGTAAACTGCTGTCACTAACTGTGTGTGTGGGGGGGGGAATAAAAACAAAAATCAACAGTGCCACATCTAAATAAACCCGTTTCTCCATTCCAGAACCACAAGGCACTTCTAAATTCCTGAAAATTGAAAGGGATCATAAAGTGCAAAGCAAGATAAAATAAATTAGCCATTAACTGTAGGAAAGAACAATTGCACGCTTGCCCCTGTGGTGGAGATAGAGTTTTTAATTGATATTATCATAGCATGTTTTAAACTGTTACTTGGGTATGGTCAGAGAAATGAATGTTTTAATTAGTAAAAAAAAATATATACATACTGTGCCTGGATGGCCAGTGTCCAAAGAACAGCCATGTCATAAGCCACACTGAAAATGTGACACTGAGTGCCACTCTTTCCTTTAATGATTAACAGTACTTAGTCACAGTGAGGTGTACTGATGGTTTCCCTTGTGTTTCTCTCACTGAAATGAACCCCTACAGAGTTCTTACCCATCCTCCTTCTGTCCTCACCTGGGACAACATCTGGACTCTCACCAAACCTTTGCGTTAATAAATTCTCTGGTCAGAATTTCTGTTTTGGAGCTGCTCTGCAGCTTGAAGACCAGGGCATCTCGTACCAGCTGTTGTGGCACTGGGTAAGAAATTAAGAAAAAAATGCTTGTTCATTCAATGTCAAACTGTAGCTCTTCATAATATGAAAGCAATAGTACCTTTTTCAAAGTACCGCAGAAATTGTATCATTTCTTCAATCTACTCTCCATCTGTTATTGGAATTCCTTCTTTAGAATCCCCATTCCTTCCTCAAGACATAGTTCACCAAAGTGCTCATTAAAATTCCTTAATACCAACATGTCTTCTTAAGACAAACTAGACACATTAATATTATCAGGACAAGGTGCCGAGGAAGTGTAAACAATTAACAGCTTTCAATGATGCACCCCAAGCCCAGGCACAATCCAAATCTGATCCCCTACTTATAAATTTCCCAAAGATAGCTCTTGAAAAGTGGTAGATCCACAGAAAGAAAAGCTTCCAGACCAAAACGTAAGAGGAGAGGGTGAGAGGCTGGTAAACCCTCCTAAAATGAGAAGTTGACACTCCATAAAGCTGTTTATGGATGCAGCCATTCAACAGATTCGATGACAATTACCCTCTGCCAGCACTGTTTCCAGGAGACAAACACAACTCCCATACAGGCAAGCAAGATCCCAGAACTCCTAGGAGCATGCTCCTGAGGAGACGAGACAGGGTCTGACAACACCAGCATTCTCTCTGTATTGAATGGAGGTGAAGTTGATGCTAGCTCTACCTCCACTCAAGGAGGCAAGGAGGCAATGAATGTGCTCTGTGTGTGTGTGTGTGTGTGTGTGTGTGTGTGTGTGTGTGTGTGTGTGTTTAGCAATCTCCACTCAGGATTAGATCTGGAGCTACTTAGAAAGAAGATGTGCACACTCCACAAAAATCAAGAAGGGATGTTGAGAATTGAGTTTTGCCGTTGTAATTAAACTGCCTACAGAGGTTGTTTGGAATTTGCCATTGAGATTAATGGAGGAAACATGCTCCAGTCTAGTTGTTATGAAAATAACAACTTTAGTCTTTTCATTTTTATCATGTAAATACTTGATGCATAAAAACTAATGTATGCAATACATTTGTGCGTAGTGTATTTTAGAAATACAGTAAAATTAACCAACGGATCTAATCTAATAAAGAATTGTGTTAGTTTTCTAGGACTGTGTAACCAAGTACCACATACTGGACAGTATAAACAGCAGAAATCCCAGACTCTGAAGTGAGTGGCTAGGATCCTGGTTCCAGATGTAGGGAAGAAAGGATAGGTTTGAGGTTAGAAAGAGCCTTCAAGGGACCCTTCCTCTGGATGAAGCAGAAAGAGTTGGAAGCAGAAGGCACAGCCTGGGCACTCATAGTTGGTTAGGACTTTTAAGGACACTCAGATGAATATATGTTGATTCAGGAACTGGACTAAAGAAGTAATTCAAGTAATAGATACAAAGTATCTTGGAAGAAGAATTCTTAAAAAGAAATCACTATTGTTCTGGCTTTATTAAACAAGCGCTACAATTTGACACTGAAAGAGGCAGCATATTTTCTCCCACACCCAGGACTCTGATCAAGAGCAAATAGTTGTACCCCATCTCCCCTCCCCTCCCCTCCCTATGAGAATAAGAACAGTGCAGGCTACCACTCACATGTGAGTTGAAGGAGCTTGTCACAGGCTGGACATAAAACAGGAGATCCAAAATGCCTTTCCTTTTAAAATATTTATTTTTAAATTAGATTTATTTATCTTTTTTGTACATATGTGGCTCACGAGTACATACGTATTATGGGATGCATGTGAAATTCAGAAGATAATTTAGGGAAGCATGTTCTCTCCTTCCATTGTGTGGGTCCCAGGGATCCAATTCAGATCATCGGATTTGGTGGCAAGTGCCTTTATGAGCAACCTCCCTACACTTTGAAATATCTTTCTATTCAACTTCTCCCCAACTTCATTTTTACCTCCTGGCCTTTCCACACTGTCACCATAAGCAGTTAACAACAACAACAAAGAAATGTCATGACTGGCCTGAGATGTTGTGAAAGAATGTGGATTGAACATTGCAAAACTTCTGCACCCAAACCAAAACAATGCAGACGTCTGTCTTTCTTCTGGTTTAGTTCTCATCAACAACCTTAGAAATGAGGACAGCGCTCTATGTTTTATTAAACCCAGGGATACATGAAGACTTGGGAAGAATACCAGCCTGGGCCAGACAAACTTGGTTTTCTCACAATGTGATTGCTGTTCAAGAAGCTGAGTTACTTGACTTCTTTGTGCTTACTTAGGGTCATACATCTGTGTCACTTCATTTAAGTCATCCATGAAGGCAGGCTTTAAATGAGTCCACCAGGTCCAAGATAAAGGATAAATAGGTATCCATTAGGGAAGAACTTACACAGATAAGAATAAATAACCACCGCAGTGTTTCTGCTCTAGAGGATGCTGTCTCTGCCCTTCTGATACTCTCAGCAACCCAAGAGAGCACGAGCCTGCCCCTCCTCTACCTTAAACTGGGTCACATCTGTCCCTGAGACCATGCCCAAAGGGTGTGGCCACTACTGCAAGTTCACTGGCAAGGCAAGAAGCCACTACATACTCATTCATTCATTTGTTTCTAAACAACTACCATAATATATAAAGGTGCCAATAATACAATGACAGCAGATTGACAGTTAGCCTACAAGATAGACATCAATCTTTCTTGTACAGTATGGATCCCTGAAGAGAAACTGGGAGTGATTGAGTGATCAGGGCGAGATTGTAAAAGATGAAGAGAGTCCTGTATGAAATCCTATATATTTCAAAAGCTAAGGGTGTAAGCTGAATCAAAGACTTCAAAGGGTGAGGAGTAAGAGGTAAGCCTTGAGGGAGAAGTAACTAGGCAGACTGGGGAGGGAACTAGAAGCTAGGTTGAACAGGAAAGAGTTGATGAGGGTACTTCCCACACAGTACTTCCCAATGGGACTGGAGTTCAGAGGGGGCTATAGACCATTACCTACTTTCTGGAAGACTGACAATGTTGATTAATTGTTTTGCAATAAAGAATTCTGTTCAATTTTTGTTTAAAAGTTTTCCCAAAAGTGATATGTGTGAAAAATATTATCCTCTTGTGGACTGAGTGTCCAAGAAGTTGTCTGTGGGGATGGAGATTTATTTCCTTTGTAAATGAAGGACTAATAAAATCATGTGGTGTCATATAAAGCTATAGCAACAACTACCACAGGCAGAGCTCTAAACGCCTTTAAACTACTTAATTTAACTCTCGTAACAAGGCTGTGTACGGTGTGGACAGTCATTATTATATCATTTCATCATTACAAGGAGGAAAACAAGGATTAAGGAATCTGGTGGTTTCCTTAGATTTATCTCCATGTGTGGAAAAACTTGAATTATGAACTGTGCCATTGTGCATCATAGCTAGCATGCCATGGGCCAGTCTAGCTGCCTAGGCAGGTGGATCAGACAAGCAACAAAAGCTAGAGACGAGGAAGGGGATTGTCACTGTAATTCTGGCGAAAGTTACTGCAGATGCAAGCAC